AAGGGGAAATGGGATAGAGGGAAATATACAGTTAACAATCAAAACTGAATGAGAATGGGATGTACTTAACCATAAAACAGAAGCAGATAAAAAAAAACAGAAGCAGATAGCAGAATGGATTAAAAATCATAATCCAACCATGTGTTGTTTGGAAGAAACACACTTGAAACGAAAGAAAGTAAAAATAAAGGGCTGAAGCAGAATCTATTATGCTTTGGCTGAGGTTAAAAAAAAAAAAGCAAGTGTAGCAATCATGATCTCAAAAAAGGAAAAAGCAAAACTTGACCTAATTAAAAGAGATAAACATTTTGTGAAAAGGTACAATGGACAATGAAGTAATATCAGTACTAAACACATATGTACCAAATGGCCTAGCATCCAAATTCTTAAAGAAAAAGTTAAATAAGTTACTGAAGAAAATAGACAGTAAAACTATACTAGTAGAATACCTCAACTTTTCTTTCTCAGAACTACATAAAGCTAACCATAAAATAAGCAAGGAAGAAGTTAAGGAAATAAATAAAATTTTAGAAAAGTTAGATGTGATAGACCTCTGGAGAAAATGTACATTGACCATGTATTAGGGCATAAAATCCTCACAACCACATGCAGAAAAGGAGAAATATTAAAGATATGCTTTTCAGACCATAACGCAATAAAATCATATTCAATAAATGGCAATGGAAACACAGATTAAAAATTAATTGGAAACTAAATAATCTAATTCTAAAGAATGAGTGGGTCAAAAAACAAATCAGGAAAAACATAAATGATTTCATTAAAGAGAATGACTATAATGAAACAACATACTGAAATTTATGAGATGTAGCCAAAGCAGTTCTTATGGGGAAATGTATACCTCTAGGTGGTTATATCAATAAAATAAAGAAAGAGTGGATCAATGAATTGGGTAGACAACTTAAAAAAAACCTAGGAAAAAAAAGTTAAAAATCACCAATTAAACATCAAATTGGAAATCCTGAAAATTAAAGGAGAGAGTAATAAAATTGAAAGTTTTTAAAAAATCATTGAAGTAATAAAACTAGGAGCTGATTTTATATAATAGAAAACCATTGGTTAATTTGATTTAAAAAAAGAAAGAGGAAAACAAAATTACCAATATCAAAAATGCAAAGGGTAAATGCACCACCAATGAAGAGGAAATTAAAGTAATTGTTAGGAGTTATTTCCCCCAATTATATGCCAATAGATCTGACAATCTAAGTGAAATGGGCATATATTTACAAAAATATAAGCTACCTAGATCAACAGAGGACCAGTTAAATAGCCATTATCTTAAAAAGAAAAAAAGAAATTGAACAAGCCATCAATGAGCTTTCTAAGACAAAATCCCCAGCACTAAATGTATTCACACATGAATTCTACCAAACATTTAAAGAACAATTGATTCCAATACTATAAAAATATTTGGGAAAATAGGCAAAGGAGTGCTACCTAATTCCTTTTAAGACACAAATATAGCACTGATACCTAAACCAGGAAGAGCAAAAACAGAAAGAAAACTATAATTTCCCCAATGAATATTGACGCAAACACTTCAAATAAAATGCTAACAAGGAGATTATAGCAATATATCACAAAGATCTTACACTATGACCATGTAGTATTTATACCAGGAATGCAGGTATATTGATTGCTCAGTATTAGGAAAACTATAATTGTAATTGACTACATCAGAAACAAAAATGGTAAAAATCATATGATTATCTCAATAGGTGCAGGAAAAGCTTTTGACAAAATACAATACTCATTCCTATTTTAAAAACACTACAAAGCATAGGAGCTTTCCTTAAAATGATAGGCAGTATCTATTTAAAACCATCAGCAAGCATTAGCCGTAATGGGGATAAGCAAGAAGCCCTTCCAAAAAGATCAGGGGTAAAGTAAGGATGTGCATTATCACCACTATTATTCAATATTACACTAGAAATGTTAGCTATAGTAATAAGACAATAAAAAGAAATTGAAGGAATTAGGCAATGAAAAAACAAAACTATCACTTTTTGCAGACTCTATGATGGTATACTTAGAAAATTCTAGTTTTTAACTCATTTAGTCATGTCATATTCTTCACGACCCATGGACCATAGCACGTCATAGAGAAGAGAGAGAATTGGGGCAAAAAAAAATCCAAAGAGCCATTGTTTTAATAAAAATATTTTAATCCAAGATCAACTAATTAATATCACACATTATAGGATATAAAATGGATAATTTTATTACATAAAATTAAAAAGATTTTATACAAACAAAACCAAAGCAGCCAAGATTAGAAGGAAAACAGGAACAAGGAGAGGGAGGCAATTTTCACAGCAAGTTTCTCTAATAGAGGCCTCATTTCTCAAATACATAAAGAATTGAGTCAAATTTATAAGAATACAAGTCATTCCCCAAATGACAAATGGTCAAAGGATATAAACAAGCACTCTTCAAAAGAAATCAAAGCTATCTATAGTCATATGAAAAAATGCTCTTAATCACCACTGACTCAAGAAATTCAAATCAAAACAACTCTGAGGTACCACCTTGAACCTGTCAGATTGGCTAATATTACAGAAAAGGAAAATAACAAATGTTGGAGGCCATGTAGAAAAATAGGGATGCTAATACACTTCTGGTGGAGTTGTGAACTGATCCAACTGCTCTGGAGAACAATTTGGAACTATGCCCAGAGGGCTATAAAACTGCACATACTTTTTGACCCAGAAATACCACTACTAGGTCTGTTTCCAAAAGAGATCAAAGAAAAACAAAAGAGACCTATATGTACAAAAATATGCATAGCAGCTCTTTTTGCAGTAGCAAAGAATTGGAAATTGAAGGGATGCCTATCAATTGGTTGAACAAATTATGGTATATGAATGTAATGGAATACTTTTGTTCCATAAGAAATGATGAGCATGTGGATTTCAGAAAAACCTGGAAAGACTTACATAAACTGATGTTGAATGAAGTGAATAGAACCAGGAGAATATTGTACACAGTAACAGCAATATTGTACTATGATAACTATGAATCACTTACCTATTTTCAGCAAGACAATGATCCAAGACAATTACAGAGGATTCAATATGGAAAATGCTATCCACCTCTTGAGAAAGAACTAATGGAATCTTAATGAAGAATAAAGCATATTTTTTCTATTTTTTTATTATTCTTAGGGGTTTTTTCGGTCTGTGGTTTATTTGGGGGGTTTTTCAACATTGCTAACATGGAAATTTTTTGCATGATTGCACATGTATAATCTATATCAAATTGCTTGCCTTCTCAAGAACAGGAGGGAGGAAGGTTGAAAATATGGAAGTCAAAATATCTTAAACGAATATGGAACTCAAAATGTTTTTAAAAACGAAGATAAAAATTTTTGCTCATATGTAATTGAGAAAAAATAAAATAAAAATTAAATCCGGAAAAAAAATAAAAGTACCTCCATTTTAGGAGGCACCCCTGACTAGCCATCTCTTCATTTCCCACAGGACTACACTCTTTCTTTATCCTTCTCGAGCTGCCTACCTTCTCACCCACCTCCTCATCACTCCCACCCCACCCCCAGTTTTCAGCTATGTGTGTATTATGTTCCCCATTAGAAAAAAGTAAGCCCATTGAAGGCAAGAACTGTCTTTTGACTTTCTTTGTATCCCGAGGGCTTAGCACAATGCCTGGCACATAAGTAGGCACTTAAAAAATACTTATTCACTGAATAAGTGACTGATGCCTTCATGTTACCTGTCAACTATGAAGAAGGGGACTATTACCTGCTACAACGTACTAAATAATTATGGATTCCTGGTAGACTGGCTGTGTTGTTGTTTGCGGAGGGGGGGGGGGCGGTGCTGGGAGGTGGGGAAGCTACAGACTCCCTGTACTTTTCTGTCACTATCCCCTTCTGCAGTCTGTAGAAATCTATGCACCCTCTCTCATAATAATATTTTCAAATACATAAAATAAAATATTACAAAGGAAGCCAATTATGCGAAAATGCAGTTATCAAAAGTCTTCCCAGCTTTCAAGTGTAAATAGCGCCTAAAGATAACCTGACCCAAAAAAAATCTCCACTACATATTCCAAGGACTGGAGATTAAAACTACTTGCACTATGGTATGTAACTTGAGGAGGAGGCAGGACTACCCAAATGACAAACTGATTTAATTAAAATCAACATCTCTTAACTCTTTGCAGAAATGGCTTCCGAGGGTATTGGGTAGTAGGAAGAGGAATAAGAGGAGTAAATTCGGAGTTTGAGAGACTGGAGGGTGGTCATTGAATGTGGTCACTGTTTGGGCTCTGATTGACTCAGAATGAATGTAAATAACAATTGTTTCTGTTTTGGCCAGAAAACCTGAGAATCTTCCCCTCCCAGATCTTTTTGTTTGTTTAAGAAGCCATTCTTTGCATCATGTTTTTAAGCCTTAATCACGGAATGGGCGCTGCCTCAGTCAAACTGAGACCTCTTAAAGACCTTAGCTTGAAAAGGCCAAGGTCCCGCCCAGCATTCTGAGCCATCCCCAGTTTTCCTGATCTTTATTTGGCCACTGGACCCAGATGGCTTTGGAGGAGAAAGTGAGGTTGGTGACTTTGTACAGCCCTCCCTCATTTAAAACCAATTCACTTGTATGTCATGGCATCACCTCCCTGATGTCATGGTCCCGTTCGAGAAAGAAGGACAAATAGCAGTAGCAGCAGCAAGCAATGGTAAGATATTAGAATGAAAAATCAATCTTCTTTTCCTGAAAAGAATCAGGCATCGTTCTTTCAAATGAAATAAAATACGATTGAGAAAAGAGGCGCGCTTGCTGTTCAGGATTGTCTCTCTGCTCCTTCTCGTCCTATGAGAAGGGACCTGAGGCCCAGGGAGGGGCGGAGCCTCAGACGCAGTATCCCACCGCCCCCTTCTGGGCCCCTTATGGTTTTCAAAGAGGTCCGCCTATGCCTTATATAAAGGTCTCGCGGGGGTCTAAGTCCTTTTCGTTTCGAGTGGCTTTACTGAGTATTTTGGTCATGTCTGGTCGCGGCAAGGGAGGTAAAGGGCTGGGGAAAGGGGGTGCCAAGCGGCACAGGAAGGTGCTGCGGGATAACATCCAGGGCATCACTAAGCCTGCCATCCGCCGCTTGGCTCGGCGTGGGGGTGTGAAGCGAATCTCGGGGCTGATCTATGAGGAGACCCGCGGAGTGCTGAAGGTGTTTTTGGAGAATGTGATCCGGGACGCCGTCACTTACACGGAGCACGCCAAGAGGAAGACTGTCACGGCCATGGATGTGGTCTACGCTCTCAAGCGCCAGGGCCGCACTCTCTACGGCTTTGGCGGCTAAGCGCGCCTTCCTGTGCCGCCAATTGTGCGAGTAATATTTCCCAAAGGCCCTTTTCAGGGCCGCCTACGTTTTCACTTAAAGGGTTGTGCTTTTTGGTTTGGTTTTCTATGAAATATTGAAAGGTTGTGGTGTGTTTCAAATAGTGGTGCATGGATGGATTGTTGAAATTTATCTTTTGTTCGTAGCCATGAGAAAGCGGTTAAGATCTAGCGTTACTTTATAGAGCTCAAGGCCCCTCAGCAACATAAACGCTGCACATACTTAATTATCTATGCTGTCTCTTAAGCCTCTCTTACCCGCACTAGCACATACGCGCACCAAGAGCAAAAGCAGTGCCCTCGTTGATTTTGTTTCCTAGAAATAGCCATTCGTAGCATGGTCACTTTTCTATTGTGCTTTTGTTTTTATACATAATATGCAGGCAGGCAGCTTTATTTTCCTAACCAAACTTTCTCTCCAGCCCAGGGATACAGTAGGTTCTTAATAAATGTTGAATAGGCCGCTTTACCACCACCCTCATCCTCCAAAATCAAACCCTAATTGCTTACATTTATCCGATCAACAAACGTCTGAGCCCCTATTACAAAGTTATGTGCCAGATGAAAATTGGAAGGCAGGAGAGTGATACAGAGCAAAGATACTGCAGTGAAAAGAAGTAAGAAGGAAGAGCTTGAGGTCAATAGTCGATAGAGAAGACAAAAACAAACTAAAATTCAAAGAATATTCTCCCTACCAGAAATGTAAGAATCCTACACCTCACCCCAAGTAGTTTAAGCTGTTACTGAAAATTATATGCAGTGTACACAAAGGAGGTCAAGAAGTGAGTAATCTATTCTAGAAAGATAAAACCCATATATAGGTTTTTCCAGTTTAAAATAAAAAGTTGATGCTTGGAGAAACAGAAAAGTCTCCAACTTGTAAACTTCATTATTAAAGATAGAATTAAATAAACCACAAACTGTTGTTCATAGGAAACTGGGTTGCACAACGAACAGAGTACAGGTACTGATTTGAAATTTAACCAGGACTCTTACTAAGTGTGCAAACCACGGGCAAGTAATTTAGCTTCTTTTCCTCAGTTTCCTCAGCTATAAGATGGGAATCCACATATTTATTCTTTCCCTCCCCATGTGACAATTAATTAGAATAAACTAGAATATCTTGGTGATATTAGTCCAAAAGGCCCTTTTTTCTAATGATTGCGCAATTGTTTAGAGCTCTAAAATTTGCAACTCCTTTATCTCACCCTGATGTCCTTGAAACTATGTTACTGATTTTTTTTACCACCAGAAATGAGTCTTTTGCTTGTTTTTCCCTTTCTGTGGGAGAAACATTCTGTTCTTGATTTGCAACTATAGCTGTTTGTCCTTCATTTCCGAAGAGGACCAATGACATCATGGGAGATGTCTTGACTTGCGTGTGGAATTGTATTTAAATGAGGCAGAGTTTCACAGTCATGTTCTCACTCTCTCTCCCTGAGTCATTGAAGTCCAGTACCAAGATAAAAGTCAAGACAACTGGTGATGGCCCGGGGTTGCAATGGATGACCTTGTTGTCTTTGATACCTGACCAAGCTTCAAATGCTCCTTGGCACATGCTTTAGCCGATTTTGTGGCTGCTGAAACATTGTTCTCATCCACCCATTCCATAAGGAAAAGTCTTTATGTGCTTGAGATAGACATCTTCCTAAGTTACCAACAGATCTGAGGCCTGTTGATGCCCCTCAGTGTGGTTTAGCTCCTCAGCCAAGATGGTTGACGAGGGTATGGCCACTATGCCATGCTACAGCTTCTTGGAGCCCCACGTGAGGGTCGATTGAATCAGGTGGGCACCAAAGCTGGATGAGCAGCCCTGAAAAGAGTTTAGCAAACTCTCATACCAGAGGTGCTAGCCCTCCTGAACACCCCATACACCCCTTTGCAATTATAATGTGAGACTTAAAAATAACTGCTTAGAATTCTCTAAAAATTGTTGGAAACGTATACAAAGGGTTAGACTTCCCTTGTAAAGCAGCATTCTTTACTAGTAAAGGGGAATCCATGGCAGTCAACAAGCCTCTCTACATTTTTATGATACTCTTCTCTTCTAGATCTCCTTCTCCTGGTATGCTCTTTTCCCACCTTCTCTGCTAGATCTCCATCCATGTCTTGCCCACTAACCATGTGTGTCCCCTAAAGTTCTGTCCTAGGCTCTCTAGGCAAATGATTCCTAGATCTATATATCCAGAACTAATCTCTCTACTGAGCTCCAGTCCTATATCAGTCCTATGCCTCTTGGACATATCAAACTAGATGTCCCCTAGGCATCTCAAAATTTAATATTATCTTCACCTCCCCCAGTCCCAATTTTTCTGTTACTTTCAAGAATACCAGCATCCCCCAGAGTCACTTAAGATGCCACCACACATCCAGCTGCCACTCTGGTGCAAGTGCTCATGGATTCAACCTAAAGTACAGCAACAGCCTTCTGGATGGTCTCCCAATTCCAATTCATCCTCCACTCAGCTGCCAAGATAATCTTGAAGCATAGGTCTGACCATGTCAATTCTCTCACCCCCAGGCCCTCCAAGTAATAGCTTCCTATTACCTTCAGGATCAAAATAAAGTCCTCTCTTTGGCACTTAAACCCCTTCAGAACCAGACCCCTTCCCACATTTCCAGTCTTCTTACACTTGATTCCCCTCCACAAACTCTGAGATCCAGTCACATTGGTCCACTTGCTATTTCACCACTTGATACTCCATCTCCCAAATCATACCTTTGCATTAGCAGTGCCTTATACCTGGGATACTCTCCCTTCTCACTTTAGCCTCTGAGCTTCCCTGTCTTCCTTCAGAACTCTGCTCAAATTCCAGGAAGGCTTTTCCTGTCCCCTCCTCCCCCCAGTATCATCCCTTCTAAGATTACCCTCCAACTACTCCGAATATATTCTATATGTACATAGCTACTTACGTGTTGTCTCTCCCATTAGAATGTGAGCTCTCTGAGGACAAGGACAGTATTTTTACCTTTCTAGTATCCCCAGAGTTTAGCACATGTATGTCAATGTTTAGTAAGGGTTTGCTGATTGATCAACCAACTCATCCACACTGCCCAGTCCCAGAGAATTCTCTAGATTATTGGGTCATCTTCTTCATCATCAACAGGATCCAGGCCAGGTCAGGGGAGGCAGCAAGAGATCTCCAGATTCTCTTACTTCCTGTGGCATAGTAGTAATATTTCCTGTTCCTGTTTTCAAAAGGATTTTTTTTAAATTTTTCTTCCAGCTGGTGTGAGCAGGTAAAGACATAAGTCTGAGTTCTTCCCGGGAAAAACCCATCTTTGCCTCAATAATTCTCAGAAGCAGCATCCAGTGTCTCCTCCTTCTGACAAAGCTGAAGAGCTATGTCTGCTCCTTGCAAAAATTTGTGATGTGCCTCTTCCCCTCCTGCAAGGCATAGCTCTAGGATCCATTTCCTTTTTCTGATGCCTTTTCATCTATCCCTCTCTCCTGCCACCTTCTCACTGGTCAAGAGACAAGGTGAGATCTCCCCAGTCCTAAAAAAGAAGTCACACATCATCCTTCTCTCCCAAGGAAAATGATATTTGCACTACCTCTTTGTGAACTCTAAAATATTCTAAGAATGGAAATTTTTATCGTGACTTAATAGAGCCTTGCCAATAATGGAGGCCTGCTTCCTAGCATCATGTCAACAATGGCTGAGGCCAGGGAACTAGCATTTATTGGAGGACCCCCCCCCCAGCTCTCTGGGGGGAGACTTGTGCCTGGATGCAGGTATTATACCAGGAGACTCAGGTTGGGATTTCAAGAAAAAGAGAGACACGAAAGGAGGAGAAATAGCCCCAGCTCAGATTTCCTGGAGGCCACGCCCTTGTTATGCTTCAGTTTCCCAATGTCACTCTCCAAATGTGGTTACCAAAATTGAAGGAAATATTCCACATCCGTGATCTCAGCGGAGCAGTTTACCCCTAGATTATGGCCTCCAACTTTTTTCACACTTTTCCAATATTAATAGCAGGTCAGGATAGTATTTTTTTTATTGGTTACTATGTCACAATGTTGACTCACATTGAACTTGCTTTTCACTAAAATCCCTTGATGTTTTCTAAGCAAATTCTTGTTTAGTCACAAATTACATTTTATTTGTAAAGTAGAATATTTGAAACTAGATATTGAATTTTGCATTTAAATCTATTAAATACCATTTCACAGATTTGTCCCATTTCCTATCATGTCAAGATCTGTTTGTATCATCATTCTGTCATTCAAAATATTACCTTTCCCTCAGCTTCATATCATCTAGAAATTTGATGGGCATACCATCTGAGACAAACTAACAACAGGCACTAATTAAATGCTTAGAGTGTGGCAGGCACTATGCTAAGCACTGAGGATTACAAATACAAGCAAAAAGACAGGCAATCTCTGACCTTAAGGAGCTTACATTCTAAAGAGAGAGACAACACATAAAAAGTGGGTCAGTGGAAGAAAGTGTGGTATCAAAGGCCATAAAGTCAGAAGCATAGTCAGGAGGGGAATGAAGCATGGCTGGCCTGGGCTTGTGATCCCCAAAATGGAGAGCTTGAAAAGAACTCACCCATCAGAGGGAGGGGGCTGGCATTGTGGAAGGTATTTTAGATTGAGAAAGTGGCAAGTAGTGGAGAGAAGTTCCAGGGTAAGAGGGAGGGCAGCTGAGTCATGAAGACACAGTCCATAGCCATAGACATAAGTCTGTAGTTTGGGTTAATTGCTTAACATTTCTCTGGAGGCCCCTTGGATGAATGTTTAAATTCCAAAATTCTTGTGCCCAATTAGCACACTCTATCTGGTGGGGGGGAGAGAGACAGACAGACAGACAGACAGACAGACAGACAGATAGACAGAGACAGAGAATGAGAGATCTTGGTATCAAGCCATCATCTTCTAGGCTTGAAGAGCTAGTAAATATTGTTTTAGTAGGCTTGATCACTAAACACCACCCTGAATGATTCAGTTTATTCATTTTGACACTAGCATCTCAGAGCTCCTGGGAAAAAAATGGCATTTCCCCTTCAAAACAAAGCTCAGAAGATTTTGAGATTTGTCCTCTTTTTGTATGACCTTCAGTCTCACCCTGGAAGGCAGCTTCTTGATGGAATGGTAGACTTGTAATGCTCCACTGCTTACATGCTAAGAGGTTTGGATGAGCATTTTTCTTTTTATAAGAAATAGCACGACAAGCTCCAAAAGGATCAGTACCCTAAACATAAAAGGTCTTATTGTTAAAAAGAAATAGAGGATAATCCATAGAATTACCTTTCAGGTCTATACTTAAGAGAAAAATTCCTGAACAAAACAAGGTACTTTTGAAAAGATCACAAAAAAACAAAATAGGTAGTTCTGAATATATAAAATTTTAAAGCTTTGATAGAAACAAAATCAATCCAACTAGAATAAAAAGATTTTAAGCAGAAAAAAATGTTTATGACACATAGCTTTAAGAAAAGTCTAATTTCCAAAATGCAGAAACAGAATACTAGACCATTTTATTCCGTTGTGTTTCTAGAAGAGTTTGACATTGCTCTGAAGGCCTGTAGTGACACTAGGTATTGCTACCCTTGAAAAAAATCAGGAAAACCTTTCTACCTCTAATTAAAACTCTACTTCCTTATGATTTTTGATAACCCATTATATGTTAATGTTTTCTCCCTCTGGAGAAACTTAGGAGGAACTGACCAAGGCTCATTCATCTCCCAAACTTCTATGCTGTATTCTTTCCATAATATGTGTCCCATTGTTTCATTCTGTGTTTCCCATTGTTTGATCTGTTTCACTTAGATTATAAAAAGTTTTGATCTCTTCCATCTATCAACAAATTCTTGCTGTCCATATCAGACTTGGAGTCTCCAATGGGTCTCCCTCATGTGGCCACAAGTTAATGAATAAATGAAATGTGCTTCAGTCATGCTGTAGCAGAAGACTGGCGGTTATTTCTTTGAAAGACATATAAAAGGAACTGACACAGACAAATGGCTAAAACCACAATAGGTAAGTGGTCAAAGGGTTATGAACCAGTTTTCAAAAAAAGAAATACAAACTACCAACAAACATAAGGGAAAGTGTTCCCACTTTCTAATAACAAAATTCAATGTAAAACAATTCTGGAGTTTCACCTCACATCCACCAATTTGGCAAAAATGATAAAAGTTGGAAATAATAAATATTGGAAGAGCAGAGAGAAAGCAGGCACGAGAATAAGTAGAATTGTGAATTGTCACCCCACACCTGAACTAGTACAATAACCTGCTCGTTGGTGTTCCTACTTCAGGTCTCTCTCCCCACACCAGTCCACTCAGCTGTCAATTTAATTTTCCTAGAAGCGTAGAACTAAGCACGTCACTCTCCCCCAACGCACGCCTCCCACACTTCCATTCAGTCAACTCCCATGGCTCCCTATCATCTCCAAAATCAAGTATAATATACTCTATATAGCATTCAAAGCCCTTCACAAGTTGAATCCCTCCTATCTCTTCAGTCTTCTTGTATTCTACTCACCGCCAGGCACTCTGGGATTCCATGACACTGGCTTCCTTGCAGTTCCTCACACAAGACGTTCCATCTTCTGCTGCCAGGCATTTACACCGGCTGTCCTCCTTGCCTGAAATATTCTCCCTGCTTAATTGTCATCTCTTGGCTTCCCTGAGTTCCTTCAAATCTCAGATAAAAACTCCTCCTTCTTCATGAAGCCTTTCCTGTCAGCAATACAAGGATCTCCAAAGGCCTCATGATGGAAAATGCTGTCCACATCCAAAGAAAGAACTATGGAGTTTGAATGCAGACCGAAGCATACTATTTGCTATTTTTTTTCTTCTGTTGTATTTTGTTTCCTCTTTCTGGTGGTTCCTCCTATCGGTTCTAATTCTTACTTACAACATCACTAATGTGAAAATATGTTTAATAGGAATGTAAATGTATAGCCTCTATCAGATTTCGAGTGGTCTTGGGGAGAGAGGTGAGGAGGGAGGGGGAGAAAAATGTAAAACTCAAAAGCATATGGAAGTGATTGTTGATAAATCAAAATAAATTAATTTAAAAAAAAAAAAGAAGCCTTTTCTGGTTCCCTTTCATGCTAGTACCTTCTCTCTGTTGATAATCACACACACACACACTGACTCACCATTATTGTGCATATATCCTAAAGATATGACTTGAACCTATTAAGGTAGTTAGGTTTTCTTAAATGTCATACAGTCCTGAAACAGAGAGAAAAATACAATTTCAGAAATAAGAAGAAAGTAGAATACATAAGCCAGTGACCTTCATGTTGATTCCTAGAAAAAAAAACTGTAAACTGTCTTAAAGGGATGTTTAGTGAACAAAATAATCTCAGTTACTCAGAATGACTTCTTCAATGACAAGCACGGCAGACTTTTTGTCACTATCCTTTTTGACAGAGTTATAAGATTGGCAGATCAGAAAAAAGCTACAGGACTATTGTGAGGATCTAATGATAAAATACCTGTAAAGATTTCACAGTACCTGGCACATAATGGTGCTCAATAAATTCTTGTTTCCTTACTTCCTGAATAAACCATGAAATATGAATGCAATGAAATATTAATCTCCAGTATAAAATAACCAATGTGAGAAATTCAGGGAGACATAATAAGATCCCTGTTAACTAAGGCAGTATGAAATAAGCAGAACAAAAATAATATACACAATGATACCACATAAATAAAAAAATAGATGAAAGGAAGCAGAGCTCAGATTAATAGAAAATCCGTTGGAATCCTGGTTTGAAATCGCTTGGGTTTTTACTGAGTTTCTTTTCTTTTCCTTCCTTTGCATTATTCCTATACCAAATATAGAGGTAAGAATATGCCTGACACAACCTCAGAGAATCAGCATTGTTGACCTGAAAGTTTGGTTAAAGAAGGCAAACAAGTTAGATGATAACATGATTATATAGTTTATTCCCTTTTAGCTAGCGAATCATGTTAACATGGAAGCCAGAATGTGATTCTGACTCGGAGATCAAGCAAAATGAGAGAGGTTTTATATGGTTTAGAGTGATCAGACTCAGGATGTCTGTGTTACAAAAAAATATAGCCCCCATATGTTTAACATGTAGCATGGGAAAGGAATTTTCTTAATTGAATAAGGTTGTAAATACAATAAAAACAGAAGAATGTCAAAGTGTCAATAGAAACTCAAGATAAGAAAAGTCCCATTATTCAAGAGAGTATCTGGTCCCAGACATCCTGGGCTTAGTTGATCAGTTCTATCTGTTCCTGGAATTTGCTGACACAGGAAGGGGGTGTTTTTAGTTCACTCAGAGAGAAAACGATTAATTCAGGTTTTTGGCCCTTACTGGGGCTCAATTGATCTTAAATGATTATCATTATAAAAGAAACTATCAAAAATTGTTCAATACCATGTTGCAATGGGATATTTTAAAACAAGAATGAATGGATGAAAAAGGATTTATTCAGTGCTTACTATGTGCAAAGCACTACACTAAGACCTAGAGCCCAAATTGGAAAAAAGAAAAAGTCTTCACTCTCGAGGAATTCACATTATAATGGGGAAGATAACACAAAGATGAGATTTCAGCCGAAAACTGGATGGAAAGGCCCCACGGTCCTTGGGAAGCAGCAGTAATACCAAAAGCAAGATATCTTTAGTGCTGTTTCAACTGATAAAGCCGTATTCATTTCATTGGTGCCAAGGACTTTGATGGAAAGAACATTCTTTTCCAGGTGTGCAATAGCTGTGGATGCTGAGATGATAGAGGCTTCAGCACTCGCAGAAGCAGTTGCCAGGTTAAGTGTCAACAAAGGTTGATTTCCTGGTTGATAACTCTGAGACCTATGCTGGAGGCTGGGCCACTGGTCTGAGGACTCAGTTATTGACCTCTCTCCATCTAGGTCTGATGGGAAGTATTGGCAGTTGTTTGACCTCCTATTAAGAACCCCTGCTTTAATGTGTAAATAGCACCTGATGACAGCACTTAAAAAAATAAATAAATGAACACGTCCCACAAAGATTCCGCCAACTAGAGATAAAATAAAGAACTGGTTTTATTAAAAGTAATACCTATCTATAGTTTGCTGGCAAAACTGAATTTGTTCCATGGAGGCAGTAGGGACAAGAAAGAAGTAAATTTGGGACTTGGGACGCTTGGAGGGAGATAGTATGGGAAAAAAAAGACTTAAACGACGTTTATTTTATTAATGCAAAACATTTATAGGTTTACTACCCCTTTAATAACTGTAACAGTGCATAGACAACAGAGAAATTCAAAGGAATAAAAAGCCCTATATTTATATTATTTATATTTATAATATACTATATTATATTATAGCCCTATAGCGTTCCTGAATAACCTTCCATCCATTCCCCGGTAACATATTAGAATAAGAAATGAAGAATTAAACTTTTCCTGAAAAGAATCATCCACAGTTCTTTCTAATGAAATAAAATACCACTGAGAAAAGGGAAGTGCTTTCTGTTCGGGATTGTCTCTCTGCTCCTTTCTGTCCTATGAGAAGAGACCTGAGGCCCAGGGAGGGGCGGAGCCTCAGCTTTTCCCGCCGACCCCTCCCAGACCGATTTCGGTTTTCAAAGAGGTCCGCCTATGCCTTATATAAACATCTCACCGGCGCAGTTCTACTTCTTTGTTAAAAGTTGTTTCCCTAAGCTGCTTAAGTATGTCTGGTCGAGGCAAAGGCGGTAAAGGGCTGGGGAAAGGGGGTGCCAAGCGGCACAGGAAAGTGCTGCGTGATAACATCCAGGGCATTACCAAGCCTGCCATTCGGCGCTTGGCACGGCGTGGGGGTGTGAAGCGAATCTCGGGGCTGATCTACGAGGAGACCCGTGGGGTGCTGAAGGTGTTTTTGGAGAACGTGATCCGGGACGCCGTCACTTACACGGAGCACGCCAAGAGGAAGACTGTCACGGCCATGGACGTGGTCTACGCTCTCAAGCGCCAGGGCCGCACTCTCTACGGTTTTGGCGGCTAAGCGCACCTTCCCGTGCCGCGAACTGCGAGCGATAGATACTCCCCAAAGGCCCTTTTTAGGGCCACCCACATTCTCCTTTAAAAGAGCTGTGTTTCGTTTCCTTCTTTAGCTTTGCTCTATTGTTCGGGGTCTCTTAGCTTGTGAGGAATTTTTAAAAGTAACATTTGCAAACCTCAGGCCTCCTTACTCTTAGGAAATGGAAACAAGAATGGATTTTGGCCAAAAGCTTTTGTGCTGCTTTGTAAATTGACAAGTGTTATCACCAATTTTAGCTATCCTCAGTATTGGCTGACCTTAAGACTAGGGCGTGAAGCGATCTGAGCGGGGAAAGGCGTGTGACCAAACCGAAGCTGTCAACCTATCAGGGATCCGTTTGTGTGATGACTAACAGGAATGTTTCGCTCGAAAAGCCAATCAGAATGCAGCGCGCCATCTGCAGAAGTTATTCCCGCCGGCTTTTCATTTGGGATTCTTGAGTCACTTTGGGTTAAAAATTAGCGTCCCCTCTACTTTATGGGCCCCACTTCTCTCCACACTTAAGCAAAAAAAGGACGTCTCTGCTCTAGGAGCTAACGACTTAGTAAAAGCCTTACTGGAACGGGTAGGTGATGTGCAAAGTAAGCTCTAGGAATATACAAGAAAGGAAAGATACCGATCTGTGTTCTATCGTTATTGATAGCAAATAGAGCGTGCCCGAGCTTTAAGGTTTGCAAAGCACGTTACATATGTTGGCTCATTTCCTCTCCAGACCAGCCCCAAAAGGGATAGGTACTGTTGGGCACATTTCAGGAACCTGAGCCCGAAAATACTTAAGTGACTTGCTCAGGGTTAACACAGCTAGTTAAGTGTCCCAGGATGGGACTCCAAGACCTGGCTAATGCTCTAGCCACTTCATGACCCTGGGTTGGGATTCAGGAAAACCTTAACTCCCATTCTGTCTGCTGTTCACTGACCATCTGACTTTGGGCGACTCACCTTACCTCTCGAGCCCTCGTTTCCTTCCTCAGTGACCTGAAGTCGTATAATCACGCTTTCATTTAGTTCACAGACAAGAGGCTAGTTACCTTTCAGTGGGGAACAGAATCAGTATTACTCATGTTCCTTCTGTAAATCAGGGCTTAGCACTTTTCTGGAGTTCACTTTCCACAGACTGGCTTTCAAAGCCTCACACTTTCATCCTCGTCTACAAATAAAGGGGTTGGGTTACATGGCCTCTGAGGTCCTTTCCAACCCTATTCCTGGAATACCTATGATCAGTCTCTTTATCTTGTCCAGGCAGTCCCATCTTGTGCATTTCAGTCCACTTACGGTCTTCTCTAATTGCTTTGCTGGCGTAATTGAAAATGACTCCATGATTGAAAGGCTGGCAGCTTCCTCCGCAGAAATGGGGGATATTGGAGGAGGAAGGGCAGGTTTATAGCAGAACAGATTAACTTTCGCTTTTGGAATGCTTCAACTCCACATGCCTGGGAGATATGTATCCACGGGAAGATGTCCAACAAGTGGTGTGAGACTGGACTTCAGGAGAGAGTTTGGAGCTGGGCAACTTCTAACCTCTGCTGTGACTCCACTGCTCACATCTGACAGATGCCTTCCTCTTCTCACTGCCCACACCCTAGTACTGACTCATCACCTCCCTGGACTATTGCAATTACCTCCCGGTAGGGGACACTTTGCCCCTTTTGCTCCAATACTCCCCCCCGCCCCGCCCCCACCACCTTCACCACCTCCACGCCATTCTTTGAAATATTCCTAGTCATGCAGGCATTACTTGCTGGTGGGCAGTAGGGAGCCAGTGTTTGTTTTGTTTTTAAACAAACTGCTTGGCACTCGAGGGAACATGGCACCCTTTACCTTTTCTGACTTGATTTCATACTAAGTCTTACAAGTATTTCATATTCCATTTTTATACTCCATTCCCTATCAACTCCAAGATCAAATAGAAAATTGTATAGTATTCAAAGCCCTTCATCATCTAGCCCCATTCCCCCACCTTTCTAGTCTTTTGGCATTTTACACCTCCCCCCAGTATACCCTTCCGTCCAGTGACATTGGCCTCCCTGCTCCAACCAAACACTTCATCTCCCATTTTCACTGATTTTTCATTTTCACTGCCTATCACTTATGTATGGAATGCTTTCTCTCCTTATCTCTGCCTCCTGACTTTAAGTCCCAGCTAAAATCTCCCCTTCTACAAAGTAGAAGTCTTAACACAGCGCAAATGGGAGAGGGGGTCCCCACTCTTCCCTCACCCTCCCTTCCCAAAACCTCACATTGAAGCCTATTCACATGATAACAAGTCCTTTGGCTCCCTATGGAAATGAAGTCCCCAGTTTTTCCTATTTCACTGGAGAGGCAAGGATGGGGAAGATTTTGAGTCAGGCAAAACTCTACAAGAATCTAGTGCTGGGCTGTTGGAGAATCCCTGTCCCTCTCCCCTTGCCCCCAACCCTTAACCCCACTGCTTCAGGTTGAAACACAAGGAATGGCAGAATGTCCCTAGCATCAGCAAGAAGGAGCCCATTCCCTCTGAAGAATTGGAAACTGCTCCTCAGGTCCACCATTATTCTGCCCAGGCATAAGGCCTTGGAAAAGGAGGAGTTAACCCTTAGGGTTGGGTTAGGGTTCAGGAAACATAATTACTGCCCAAAAGACTGTAAGTGCTTTTGCCCAAAATGCCTTCTAAGAATGGCACCCAAGAACATCCCTAGCATAGTGAAGGAGTTTGCTTGGCTGACTTCCAGGTAAAACTGTCATGATTCATATTGGATACACTTTCTTGATTCTTCCTAGCTCCTACTTCCCCAGGTACCTCACAATATTGCCCTCTTCTTTTAGCCAAATCCTTTGCTATGGTCAGGAGCAGCTCCAGTGCTATCAATATCACGAATCCTTTGGATCAGTGGTGTCAAACTCAAATAGAAATAGGGACCACAAGTCCATACGTAAGTAATCCTACAGGCTGCATATTGTCTTAGTTTTAAAATCTAATATTATTTCTGTTTTACTGTATTTTTATTTATTTTGTTATATATTTTCCAATTACATTTTATTCTGATTGGAGCTGCACTCAGGAATGTTGTGGCCCGGTTGGGGCCAGTGGACCACATTTTGACACCTCTGCTTTGGATTGTTCTAGCCCACATTCTGTTCTCCCTTCTCTGAACACCTGCAGCACTTGTTGTCCCTGGTATACAGCTCAGAACTCAAAGGTTCTCTATTGTAACATATGGGTTGCTTCTCTTTACTGCCCAATTAGATTTTCAAGTCCCTTGACAATAAGGAATGTATCATATCCCACATTTATAACATGTCATTCAGCACTGACACTGTTTTGTACTACTTCACAGGTGGGAGAGTATGACTAGAAAAGGGAGTGAAGACAAAGAGAGCTCTAGATTCTCCAAGTGACCTCCATACGCAGAAAGAACATGAAAGACTTTAGCATCCTGGGAAGAGCCTGGATGGAGGACTAATGGAAAAATAGTGACATGAGTCACACAGGATGAAAAGGAATGTATGTGTGTATATATATGTTCAATTGTGTATTGAGGAGAGGAAGGCTAAGATCTGTATTTGGCAAATGTTACTCAAAGTAACCAAGTAAATGTGAGTTTTCTCTTTGGAATATAATTAAATAGTCTATGGTAGAGATGTATTGACCAGTACAAAATAGTTTTGATTGTTATTACTTTATAATATAGCAATACCTCTATCATTAATTAATCAATCAACTTGGAACTCCCACCACTGTTTATTGAATATTGTTTATACAATGAACTGAGGAAATCTTTCTCCATAAGCCATGGCTCAGATGTCTCTATGTATCCATATCTCTAAACTCTTGAGATTAACTGAATATTAGCATTACCAGTTTTACAATTTATTAACAGCATAGTCAATAATAACATGGAGATCACATGTAACTATTTATAGTGTTTTAGTTGTGAGAAATATCACAGCAGGAATCACTACTACCTAACCATCACTGCAACTACAGAGGAGCAGAGGAGCTCTCCTTACTTCTTGAAATAATTTCACCACTCAGTTCCCTCTAGATATCCACCAGTCTCTTCTCAAGAATTATCTTTAGCCCCTTCAAAAGATAAAGGCCTGTCCATTCCTACTAGACAAGTTCTATCACTGTATGTTTGCTAGTGAGCAAACTGAGGCACTGTGGAGTGCCACCTTGTGGCATATGCAGAAATTGCATTTTACTATCCAATCTTCTTCAAGAAGAGACTTGGACCTTAACTGCCTGCCTGCCTGCCTTTCCATATCTAATGCCAAAGTAACCATAAACTTTTTGCCAACTTGACTTAAAGAATGCTTGAGTCTGTGAAATCATTCCGGACAACCCCGTCCTGTACTCCAGTCTTTGAGGGGTCTCAACCTCTCAGACCTCAACAGCCCCACACTTTCAGGGCAAGGCAAACTAAGGAAGAAGATCTCTTTTCTCTACTGCTATTGGCTCCAGTCCCCTGGCTCCAGTCCCCAACCTCTAGCTGGGTTTTCCCCATTGTTAGGGGCTGTCTATCCATTCAAACAAACATTCAAACATCCCCACCTCCTACACTTGAGGAGTGTGGAAGTGAAAATTGATACCCCATTTTATTTTGTATTCTTTACTGAGAATTATTGTAGTATTTATTGAGAATCACTGGAATCAGTACTTATGGATTAGAGTTAGATTTAATTGTATAAACCTCAGCATTAGAGTTTATAAGAGTTTAACTTCCCCATTTCTCTAGGCTACAGCCTGGACTCAATCTATCTTACCCCAGAAAGGAGGAGGGAGAATGAATCGACATGGTCATAAGATGTTCTGTCTAGTCATGAGCCTAGCACCAGACCACTCTAGTGTAAGGAGCTGCCTAAGACAGGGCTTTCCAGAAGATGTTGGTCAACTCTGTGTTTTCCCCATTGCCAGGGGTCCTGGAGTCCCCTTTGTGTGAGTCAGGCCAAATGTAAGCACACTCTTACATGTAGGCAAATTACTGTCTTAGTTTAGTTTTTCATTGGAGATTTTTAGCACCTCATATAAATTGTTATCTTTTCAACTATGTAAAAGAGGCTGCTCTAGCTTTCAGAGAAGCTTAGGATCTCATTTTATTGGAATTGCTAGCCTTGCTAATAACTTGATCATACTCAGAAAGCTGTGCCTCATATTCCTTTGTGACAATAGCATAATCTCCCCAATACCTGTGGTTCCCAGTTAGTGGCTCCCTGAGAAGATACTCTAAAGCGCTCATATTAAAATTCTTTAATGGTGCTTTAAGCAATAAATAATCCAATTGTGTGTGTGTGTTACAAATATAGTTTTCCTATGTGATAAAAAAAAAATGCACGTACTTGAACCATTACAAGTTTGTTTCTACAGCAATTTGAAACTATCATAATCACACACAATGATAACAAAGCACAATGTGTTCTTGTAGTTTCTTAACCTGTTATCAAATAGTTTCCAAGCTGTCACACAGCTTTGACCTTCAAGTGCAAACTGATTCCCAATGAATGGTCAGATACACGTGCATCCCTTTGTCCACATTATATAGAGAACACCTAAGCTGTCCTCTTGTTCCCCTTCACCCTGTAATCATACCTCATCATCTGTATAATCTCGTGATAAATTTCTTGGAAAAGTTTGAGTCCTTACAACACGAAGTCAGGCTTTTTGTAAGCTGTGATTACTGTATATCCATGTTATAAATCATCTTGAAACCATTATGGACCATCACAAATATTCTACGAAAAGAACCTTGTATTGGCTCTCATTGAACTATTAAGGCTATTTTCAGATTTAAACTTATCTTCCCCTTATGCTACTATTGTTAGAAACACTGGTCAGTCATGCAGTAGAGATCCTGTAGCCAGTATGCCAATGGCAAACAAAACGATACATGCAATTGAACCTTAAGTATATTTATCACTAATATGGTGTGTGTCATTAGCCAGCAAAAAGTAAGTAGTTTGTATCGTAACTAGCCATTCTTTTTTGTCAGTTGGTTAATGGCCAAAAACAAAAAACTGCATTTCCATCTCTTACCAAGAGAGCTCGTAAAATTATTCTACCACTTCCCCACACACATATTTGTGCAAGCAAGCATTTGTACTTTATTCTTCTTTTAAATAAAAATACAAAAGGAAACTCAATGCAGAATCAGATTTAAGAATATGTTTGCCTGGGATTGAGTCAAATATTGCAAACCATTGTCCAACCTCAAATTAAGCTTATATATGATTGTTATATTATGTTAAATGTCTTCTAAATTATAACTTATTTAAATTAAATGTTATTTATATTCAACAAAATGTGTTAGATAAATTTCAAATGAAGTTTTGTAGCATGTGCAGTCTTGCTGGACTACTTTTTAATTCTTACAGAATATCTCATAAAATATTTGTAATTATTTTATAATTAGAATTTTATGCTTTTATATTTACAATTTTCATATAAATAATTTATAACAAAATATAATTTTATAATTTACAATTATAATTCTATAATATGAATTTTAATGTGGAGCTTTTGGGGAGCAAAAGTTATCATTGTAGTTATTGGAAGCACTTAAAGAATAGATATAAAACAATATTTATCAGTAGTGTATTAAATTAACCAGTGGGGTTCACAACATATTTTATGTGTTGAAAGGGATTCTCAGAACAAAAAACATTGGCATCACTGCAAAGGACCACCTCAGTTTCTTGAGGAATAGCCTTGAAACTCAACTCAGTTCCTAAGTAGCACTGGTGCTACCATGCTCTTGTCCAGACGCAGTATGAATGCCAAAAGATCCTGCCTATCAACTACCGACTGGTCTGGAGTCCTGAAGGTCACTCCCAAAAGTAGCTCATTGCTCTTTGGGTCACCAGTGTTGTGCTGATTCTGGTGTTTCTGAAACAATTACATCAAACTCTGACCACTTCTAACTAAGCACACTGTGTTCTTGAAACCTGGCCTGAACCCTAACTTCCAGATGCCTATGGCTTGCTCTCCTAACCTTCCAAAACTCCCAAGGTACTGCCACTGCCAGGCAGTGAGATGTTGTAGTGGACAAAGCACTGGGCCTGGAGTCAAGAAGACCTGAGTTTAAATTCAGCCTTATATATTCACTAGACATGTGACCCTATCTGCCTTAGTTTGCCCAACTGTAAAACAGGGATAATAATAGCACTTGCCTTACAGAGATAATATTTATAAAGTGTGTAGCACAGTGCCTGGCACATCATGGGCACTTAATAAGTGCTTAATTCATAGCTTTTTACAGGTTGAACCAAATGCTTTTCCCTAATGGATATCCTCAAAATATAAGTATTTAAAGGACATGAACAAAAGTTCTAAGAAGAATTACAGACTATTAATAAACAAATGAAAGAATGCTGCAAATCATTACAAACAATCAGAGAAATGAAAATCAAAATAACCCTGAGATTTCATCTCACAGCCTCCAAACTGGCAAAGATGGTAAAAGATGGGAATGGCCAGTGTTTGGAAATTGTGAGAAAATCAACATGATGGTGCATTGCTGGTGGAGCTGTGGGTAGTTTGGTGCGACCATTTTGGAAAGAAATGTAGAATTAGGCAAATAAAATGACTAAAATGTCCATACCTTTTGACCCAGAATTTCCATTACTAGACTTATACCCCAAGGAGGCCACTGAAGAAGAAAGGCCTCACATACACCAAAATATTTATACCAGCACTTTTTTATAATAGCCAAGCATTGGAAAGTAGATGCCCATTGATTAGGAAACGGCTACACATGTGTGAAATGGAATATTGCCATGCTGTAAGACATGATGAATGTGGTGAATATAGAGAAGTATGGAAAGATCTACACAAACTGATGCGGAATGAAATAAGCAGAGCCAAAAAGAGAATAAATACAATGACTACAACAATGTACGCAGAAATAACCACATAGAAAAAAACCAAAAGTGAATGTTGCAAAATTAGAACAATCATGCTTTGCAAGAAGGCATATGAGAAGACATTTCCACCCCAACCTTCATCTTGGAGGACATGGGAGGTTCACAAGTGTACACACTGTTTATATTTTCAGACTTTTTCAGTACGTTGATCAGGAATATCAATTTTTTACCTCTTTTTTTGTTTTTAAGAAAATACTGTTTGTTACATGGAATGGATCTCTGGGATGGGGTAGGGAGAGGGAAATTGGGGGAAACTATGATAATATTTTTAAAAAGACATTAATAATACACTTTGAGTAAGATTTGGTGTTCCAAAGTGCAATACAAGAAAACATGGAACACACAGCAAGACAGCAGAGAGAAAATAAAACAAGCCTGCTTTATTGCACGGAAATACCTGGACTCCTAATGAAGAAGGGCAGACAGAGACAATGGATCCCCTGGAGCAAGTGATAAGGAGAAACCAAAACAAGTAAAATCTGATGGGGGTTTTTGGAGGCTCCAAATTTGGTTCAAAAAGAACTAGGCACTGGCAGGGAGGGAGGGAGGAGCCTGGACTTGGCACTAGTGCTGATTCATGTGGGCACCAAGAGGGTGGAAATGCCTAGGCAATCAACAGCTAGTTGGTATTGAGACTCCTCCTGGCAGGAAAATGATGGCTTCAGCCTTTCCTGAGGACCTTACTTTGACAGGGTCACTCAGGGGATTTGAGCTTCCTGGGGCCTCTTGAGGTCCTTCCAATTTGTCTCTCATCACCCCAGTAAGCTAAGTAATATCCAAATGAAGCCAAAAGAAGACAAGACAAAGGAGGAGGTCACTGAAGCTGCTGACAGCCTCTATAGACCATCCAATGGTCTCCTCTTCAAAATACAATTATTTAGCAAGTTCTATAGTTACTCCAAGGCACATCCTCATGATTCTCCCACAGGTGATCTTCCCAGGTTTTCCACAAGCCATCCTAAGAGCTCTTTACTGTAGGACCAGATTTCAGAGAGTATCTGGTTCAACTCATACATGATCAGGACTTTTCAATACAACATCCTCCCCAAAGGGCTCATCTACTCTTACTTAAAGACCTCTAAGAAAAGTAGACATCCTGAGGCAGCTCATTCCTCTTTTGGTTGACCTTTTCCCATTTTGGATGGTCACTAAGGAGGACAGAAATATGGCCTGAAGGGGGAATTTCTACTCAGAGTTCATAGTAGATTATCACTAAGTTGTTTGTGGCCCCAGGGGATATTTAGAGGTGCTGATACTGCACTCCCTATACTTTGCCATTCCAGGATTATCATGAGCCCTATTCAGACCATCATTAAAGAAGGAGAAAACATACTGGCACATTCTGAAAGCTGGGTCATTGGGGTTTGGTATCATTACATGTGATATCACTAAGAAGTAGGGCTAGAAGGTGGAAGTAGAGTTTACTAGGAAAACACCTCTACTAGCATGAAACAGCCTGCCCAGGACCAGTAATTTCTCAGGACACTTGAGTTTTCAGGAGCTTAAGCCATTCCCGACATCTCTATTCTCAGAATGAGACATAGCTGGGGAGAAGGGGCAAGGGAAAGAGTTTCTACTTTATAACTTTCTACATTGCCTCACACTTGGTATGCACTTGACAAATGGTGGTATGAATGAATGAATGAAATACTGAGAAATGAAGCAGTTAGCAAAACAAGAATAACAAGTGAAATGTCATTTGTCTCCTCTGTCTACCTTAGAAGAGACAGATAGAAAATCTATGAAAACATAAGATGTTTTTCATTGACATGGGCCATAAGGTGTTATCTGGTATGAGAAATCAGTCTCAGGGAGCCTTCTTCAGGCACACACATGGGGTCATTTCTGGCAAGCAGTAACCCAGTGGCTTAGCCTCTTCCTCAATGCCCTCATCACCTCACGGTTTCTCAAACTATAAATCAAGGGGTTGAGCATGGGTGTGAGGATGGTGTAGAAGAGGGAGACTACCTTGTCATGACCAGGAGCATGATAACGTTTGGGCCTCAGATAGATGAACATGGCTGTCCCATAAAACAGAGAGACAGCTGCCAGGTGGGATGAGCAGGTGGCCAGAGCTTTTTGACGGGCCTGGGTAGAATTCATGTTGATCACAGCTCTCAGGATTTTGGCATAGGAAGCCACAATTATGGAGAAAGGGAAGAGGAGCATGAAGACACAACAAGAAAAAAGGAGGGTGTCAAAGAGGGATGTGTCAGCACAAGCCAGCTTCGACAAAGCTAGCACCTCACAGAAAAAGTGATCTACCTCTCTAGAACCACAGTAGGGGAAAGTCATGGCTGCCACTACCTGGATTAATCCATCTAGGGTTCCAAAGGCCCAAGAGCTACCAACAATCTGAAAGCACACCCGTTGGCTCATAAGGACATGGTAGCGCAAAGGGCGATTGATGGCCACGTAGCGGTCATAAGCCATCAGGCCCAGTAGAAGGCCCTCAGAGCCAACTAGGGTAACAAAGAAGCCAATCTGCAGCCCACATCCAATGAAAGAAATGGATTTTCTGTCATGTATAAAATTGTCAGCCATCTTGGGTACAATGGTACAGATCAGAGCGAAGTCCATAAGGGAGAGGTGGCTAAGGAAAAAGTACATGGGAGTATGGAGCTGGGCATCACTATAGATCAGGAACAGAAGGAGCATATTCCCAGCCACAGCCACCGCGAAGACCACCAGGATGGCAGAGAAAAGGACAGGATCAGTTTGGTTGTGTGAGAAGATGCCCAAGAGGATGAAGTCACCTAAAGTTGAATGGTTCAACCATGGCCCCATGATTCATGGTTCAAGATCACCTAGAGGAAGAAACAGATGGATTCTGAGGCTCAGTGATTTCCTAGATATGCCCTTATCCATCTATCCAGGCAGCTAGCTGGAAGAGTACTGGATTGGAGTCAGGAAAACTTGAGTACAAATCCGGCCTTAGACAGATACTAGCTGTGTGACCTTGGGTAAATCACTTAACTCCCTGAACCTTAGTTTCATCATCTATAAGCATGAGGATATCAGACTCAGTAAGTTACCTTCCACCTCTAAATCCATGATCCCAGTATCCTATCCATCTATACAGCCATCAATTCTCACTCAGTTACTGCTTTTGTGGTTATTCCAGTATAACAGCAGACACTGTAGGGCTACACAGGTGTTTTTAAAAAATCTCACTCTGCCACCATCATACAGCTGGGGATATAACCACATGGCTCAGAGAACCTGGAGATATTTATGTATTTTTTTTATTTTTGCCCTCACTGAAACAGGGAAAATTAGTTTAACTAGTGATTAAAAGTTAATCAATTTTTAAGGGCTAAAAGGTCAGTATGAGCTTATATAATATACACAGAAATAAAAACCACACCAAGAAGTGAAAGGCAGTTGGTTTCAAAGAACAACAGGGAAATCTATAGGATCACAGATTTAAAGTTACAAAGGTCCTCAGAGGTCATCTAGACTAATCCCTCCATTTTACAGAAGAGGAAACTCAATCCCAGAGAGGTTCAGTGACTTGCCAAAGTTATACAGGTATAAGTGCCAGAGGTGGAATTTAAGCTCCAGTTCTCATTGTATCAGACAGAAGAAACATGAATTTCTATTATGACATGGAAATGGGGGCAACTAATAATCTAGGTATGGTAAGTAGAAACTTGGGAAGACATTTTGGGAAAACTGATACAGAGTGGAGTTAACAGAACCAGAACAATTTACATAACAATATTGTGAAGACAAACAATTGTGGAAGATTTAAGTTCTCATCTCCAGACTGAGAGAGGGAGGACTCAGAGTGCAAAATGAGACTTTGGGTGGGAAGCAAATGACTAGCAGGAATTCATTTTGCTTGACTATTCATATTTGTAATAGAGATTCCACCAGCACCACCCTCAATGTAGGAGGTGAAGAGGTGGGAGGGAGAGAAAATAAATGTTTATTGATTGAAAACATTTTAAGTTAAAAAAGAAAAAAAGGTAAAAAACACTGAGAATCCTAAGATCTCTTTGGCACCAACAGTTATGCCATTTTCTGACCAAAGTGATTGTTCTATTGCTCATTAAAGTCAAGCTTCTAATCATTAAGTACAATCCAGGTATCTCAATGATGGAAGAAGGGATTGCTGTCCAGTTAGTTAAGTCTTTAAAACCAAGATGGCATGAGGTTCAAGTTCCAGCAATAGCTGAATGATTATCAAGCTTATTGGAGAAATTACATAGACCTAGATTAAATTTGAAGGAGACTGTGATTTAATAGAATAAGCCTCGAACTTGAATCAGAAGACCTGTTTTTTAGTCCTAGCTCTGCTAACTATGTCATTGAGCCACTCACTTTGCAAGTGAACTTTGTGATGAAATTTAGTTTCATCATCTGTAAAATGGGGAAAGAGAAGCTACAATTAGCATATTACATATATATGTGTATATATACGTGTAATATACATATATGTATGTATATATATTATGTGTGTGTATGTGTGTGTGTGTGTATACACATATAATTTTTGGAGTCACAACAGGGGCAGGTGCTACATTTTGTACAACTTGGAATTCTACAACTCTAGAAAAGGACTAACCAAATTCCTACCTTCAAAAAAGCAGCTCAGATTAAGGTTAAAAAAATTATAGAATAGTAGTTTTAAATTAGGTCCTTCCTGAATATTTTGGATCCCTTCCCAGATTTAGAGCTCCAATTAAAGTTTCTAAAATGAGTAGAAGAGAAAATGTCATTCCTCTCATGATAGGGAAGCATATTATCCCACCCCAATACAAATATCCCTTCACAAATTTATACCATCTTTACTTTCTTTTTTTTCTTTTTCTCTTTTTTTTTTTGCTTTTTGGTGAGGTGATTGGGGTTAAGTGACTTGCCCCGGGTCACATAGCTAGTAAGTGTTAAGTGTCTGAGGCTGGATTTCAACTCAGTTCCTCCTGACTCTAAGACCAGAGCTCTATTCACTGAGCCACCTAGCCACCTCTTTTCCTTCTTTTTTTTTTTTTGCCATCTTTACTTTCAATGCATGATTGGAATAAACTATTTTTAAGGAATATAAAAGCGTTCCTTAGAATAAATTAATTTATTTAATCAATTCTAGAATGTTGGAATAAGGAACAACTCAATGAAGCCTGAAAGAGATTAGTTCTAGAACAAATAAAAAGAAATATTTCTTTCATGGAAACTGCATTTTTTAATGGAAAATAGATTGAGCTGTAGGTCATAACTCTTACTAGCCTTGTAGTCTTGAGCAAACCTTTTCTCTTCTCTCAGCTTCAGTTTTCTCATCTGTAAAATAAGAGGGATAGCAAGATTATGTAAAAGAGCCATTCCAGGTCTATGATTCTACCTTATGAAGAAAATGTGCTAGGCTAAAAATATAAATAGAAGAAGAATTTAGAGAAGTTCATATACTTTAGACTCAAATGTGCATTAAAGGTAAATAAGAGATGTTTAGGGGTACATCCCTATAACTTTAAGAAGGATCAATTGATCTGTCTCCTCCAGTGATCAGACAAGGTTTTCTCATTGAAAAAATAAAATAGGATGATCCAGAGAATTCAAGTGAATCAGGACATGAGACCAAAATCAAATAAAATAAAGGAGAAGGGAGGTGGGAGGGAGGGAGAGAGAGAGGTGCAGATTTACAGGTGCAGAGGCAGAGACGGAGAGACACAGAGACAGAGATAGAGAAGATGTAATCTAATCTCTCTAATCTATCTTTTTCAGGTCTGTACAAAATTTGAACCTGTTTCTAATTAAAGCAACCACACAGTGTCAAACGTATAAAAAGCAAAGCAAAGCAACCTCATGTGGTAGGAAGAGCGCGAGATTTATTCATCCAGGGGTGGGGAATCTGTGGCCTCCAGGCCACCTGTGGCCCTTTAGGTCCTCAAGTACAGCCCTTTGACTGAATCCTAACTTCAAGGAACAAATCCCCTTAATAAAAGGATTTGTTCTGTAAAACTTGGACTCAGTCAGAAGGCCGCTCCCCAGGACCTAGAAGGCCACATGGGGCCTGGAGGCTGCAGGTTCCCCACCCCTGGTTTAGTCCCTACTTATACAGAAGCATTTTCTTCCCATCTTCCAAGTTTCCATTCAAATCAAACAAGGCTTTGACAGCAAATATCTGGGACTGTGAATAAGGCAGAATGGTAATAAAATTATTGTGTCAAACAGAGAGGTTAATAGACCCTAAAGAGTGGACAACATGTTGGCACCAGAGCAGAGAGCAGCACAGGAGAAAGATCATAGGAATAGTGCAGCATGTTAGGTGAAGGTCACCATGAACATGCACTCTCCCCTTCTCTTCAGACTTGCTGGAATCACTAGGTAAGAGCTGACAGCCCTATGCACTGTCAGTGAGAAAAACACTGTGGCTGACCCAAGGGGAAACTCCTGCCATTCCACATAAATGACAGGCTTAAAGCTGCAGTTTCTGGGACTCTGGGCCATGGGAGCTGGAGTGTGAATGCAAATAAAATGATCCTTTCTCTTTCTCTTTGACATTTTGACTATGGAGTGAAGAGACAACTTCCCTAACAAAAGCATTCAGACATCTTAATTACAGGTACAGAAAAGAATGAGAAACAGGAATTCAGACTACACTAGGCCAGATGGAATGCCAGCTACTTGAGGATCTCCTGGACATTATATTTTTTCTGGCAAAAGTGTAATGATGAGCTCAGCTCTGACTGGGAGCAGAGACAGTTGACTTTTTACCTGAGTGTTTTAACATTTTGTCTGTTTGATTCTAATTTCTTGCTGTTTTATATTATACTGTAAAATGAGTATGTTTTCCTTTAGATTGCACAATGTTGTTAGGAGATAAGAATCTTAATGAGATAGGGGCATAATAAACCTGCTGGTGATAGACCTATGAAATATTTTATGTGAATGATTTTATACTTTAAACATTAGTCCAAGTCAAGAAGAACCTGGGACAAAGCATGGGGCATCTGCTTTTAGCAACATTTCTTAAACTGTCAACAGCTACAACTTCAGGCCCTGTCCTCTCCGTGTGAGGACTTCCCTATACTACTTTACCCTGGAAATCTGGAAACTCTAGCTCTTGCACCTTCTGCATGATCTGGATCAGGTCACAGTCTCTCCTCTGGGCTTCAGTTTCCTTATCTATGTAATGGAGGGAATAGAGAATGCCTAAGATCCCTTCCAGCATTAAAAAAAAAAAAAGTCATGGGACCTTGGACCTGCTCCTTTTATGACCTGGGCCCATATGCACCTCTTTAAGTAAACTGCTGAGCAGGGAGAGGAAAACAGGTCACTTAATAAGGACAACTGATCAGTTTATCTGTTCTACCAACTACATCTCAGAACTCCCAAGCTCAAGTGATTTACTAGCTTCATCCTACCCAGTAGCATGGATTATAGGCAAAATTTATCTTAACCTCTCCTAAGATTGCAGGAGAAATCTTTCTTAATTTATTATAAACTTTGTTTATATTTTCGGTCATGATCACCCCTTTGGAGCATCAATTTAATACAAAAATTAGAATTCTAATGACACTCCTACTAATAAGCAGCAGAGCCACAATTGGATCCCAAGTTTTCTGACTCCAAGTCTACTACTCTTTTGTCAACACAACACTACTACTGCTAAAAACTATTCATATTCATGGTAATGAAAGACAATAGTATTTACCTTATATCGACAATCCACATGAAGTCCATATGCATTTGCTGCTTGGTATGCAAAACCTCTAGAAAATAGTAGGACACTGAACATAGAAACTTTCTTTGAGAAACTCCTGGGATTGCTGAATTATGGAAAAAAGGAA